TGTATACACTGCAGTTTCATTTCGATATAACATAAATTCATTTGATATTTATACACTCAAATATGTGAGAATGTTATTTAATTTTATTTTATATACAATTACATAATCATTTCGATATAACTACAGCTTTATTGCACAATATACACTCAAATATGTGAAATGTTATTCAGTTTTATTTTATATACACTGCAGTTTCATTTCAACACAACTACAATATCATTTTGATATAACTACAGTTTCGATGGGTAATATATACTCAAATATGTGAAATTGTTATTCAATTTCATTTTGTATACAATGCAGTTTCATTTCAACACAACTACAGTTTCATTTTATTTCAATTGCAGTTTCACTTGATAATATAAAAATAATACGTGAGGCAGTATCAGTTTTGATACACTATAGTTTCAGTTGGTAATAAATACACAAAAAATACACGCTTCGTTAATTGTAACGGCGTTCTGTTTCTTTATTTAAAAAAACGACGTCGTTTTTTACTGCGGTGCACGTGTACCGTGGTCCGCAATTATGGTCCACAGTATAATTGCTGTCAGGATAGCAACAACTTTCATGAGGTTCAGAAAAGTCATAATTAACCCCCAAAAAATTACATGAAAATTATGGGCGCCTCATTTTGACTCAAATATCATTTTATAATGGAATAAGGTTCAAATTGGCCATTGAACGTAATCTGAAAATGTAATTAGGCCACTGAACGAAAAAAAAAAAAGTACAATTAGGTCATTGAACACTCCAAAAACGTGCAATTAGGCCACTGATCACTCCAATTGTATGCAATTTCACCGGATAGCAGGTTACCATTAATTTTAGCAGGTTATATGCTTACGTGGCAGCTGAGTTGGCATTTTTAATAATTTTTAATAAATATTAAAAAAATGAAAAAAAAAATTAAAAAATAAAATAAAACGACGCCGGCCACCCCGTCGTTTTTTTTTTTTTTTTGAAAAAAAATAATTATTAAAAATTACTAAAACTGTCAACTCAGTTGTGACGTAAGCATGTAACCTACTAAAATTGATGGTAACCTGCTATCAGGTAAAATTGCATACATTTGGAGTGTCCAGTGGCCTAATTGCACCTTTTTTTTTTTTTTTTTTTTTCGTTCAGTGGCCTAATTGCATTTTCAGGTTACGTTTAGTAGTCAATTTGAACCTTATTCCTTTTATAATTGAAGAATGTTTTTAGTGCAATTGTTACACTATACATCATCGTCTATCTTGAGTTTTATAATTGAAGAATGTTTTTAGTGCAATTGTTACACTATACATCATCGTCTATCTTGAGTTGTGAATTTTGGTTCGAAACAATATAAAGATATGTATCTGTAGTTGATATGATATGTGTCTTCAGTTATTAAATTATATATGTACTTATTATAATTAACATATTATGTACTAGCACTAATATATATATTATGTGTTTATAGTTAGTAAATTATATATTTGTGGATAACATATTATGCAATTTCAATTTATTTATAGCTGCATACTGGGCCAGTTTTTTATATTTGTGGCCCCGTTCTTATAAATAAATGAAGTCCTACTAAAAGTATAAGCGTAATCTTTAAAACCAATATTGTAAAATATATGATTTTTATATTTCAAATAAGTATGAACGGTATAAAACCAGTTGAATGCAAAAATCACAGTTCCTACTGTAAAATATATGATTTTTATTTCAAATAAGTATGAACGGCGTAAAATCGTAAATATTAGGCCCTCTAAAAATTGAGTCTCATTGTCGTTGCCCATTTTGCACGGCCTAAAATCTGGCCATGGCTGCATAATTTGTTAACTGAAGATACATAATATGTTAATTGCAAACACATAATCTAAATATTATTATGAATCAAGATCCACAGTACAAGATGGACCCTAGTCGATGATATATAATTTGCCGTGTTTAGTGTGCAACATAATGTTTTTATTTAGTAGCAATCACTACTACATAAATCACCTACAACGTCCGATAATTTTTACCAATTTATGGCCACATTTATTGTTAGCGAAGTTAGCGAGCAGAGCTTTCGGCAAAATACTCTGTTCATGTTCGATAAGCGTTCGTTTATGTTCGTTTGTTAAGGTAAACGAACCATTAACAAACAAAAATTAGAGCTCGATTAATAAACGAACAGAGCTTGAATAGTTGTATGCTCGTTTGGTAAGAGATCGTGAACAAGCTCGTTTGTGTTCGTTTAATAATGTTCGTGAACAAGATTATTTGTGTTCGTTTAATAATGTTCGTGAACAAGCTCGTTTGTGTTCGTTTAATAATGTTCGCGAACATGAACGTAGATTATTTCTTATTCACGAACGAATTGTGATCATGAACATGTGCAGGTGTTTGGTTATTAAAGTTTCACGAACGTGCTCATGAATGTAAACCAACATGTTCGTGAACGTGTTTGTTAACGTTAACGAACACGTTCGTGAACGTGTTCGCGAACGTTGACAAACACATTCGCGAACGTTAACAAACACGAATGAAGGCTTAACAAACAAACACGAACAGGATTTTCAAAAACCTTAACAAACGAACACGAACACGAACACCCCAAAATTCTTAACAAACGAATATGAACAACTTTCGTTCATTTATGTTTGGTTCGTTAACATCCTTACTTATTGTAACAAGGACAATTTTGGTCCTCCGTCAAAATTTCCGTCTGTTAACAATCTGATAAGGGGTATTTGCGTCAATTCAACCTATCTCCTTCTATATATTATATCTCTGCGTGTTTTGTTCTTGATTTCATTAAAAAAAAATTAATCTGATAATAAAAAGATTTATATTATAAATTGAAATCCCTAATTGATCTCTTTGGTTTTCTCTCATCGTCTCCATTTTCTAAAGGTGTCGGGAATTTTTTTTTGGGGTGTCGAGTCGCGGAAACAATGGCATTTTTGTAGTCTGGGGGTTGATAGCAAGAGATAGAGCTTCGGTGGGGCATTGGGAGTAGCGGAGGGCATTCACAAAGTCAATGGAAATGCCGGTGAACTCGACAGTGGTGATGGCCTGGGTCTAGGGGACGGAGGTGGAGTCGTCAACGTTGGAGCCGGAGTTTGTGGATAAGGTCTGAATTCTAGGTATGAACTACAGATCTTCTCAGTTGTTAAAGTAGGCCGCTGCAGAGGTGGAGATGTGGGTGAGCGACGAGACTCTATCGGAGTAGCGAACCAACGTCGTCGCCGTGGAAATCCTCTCGCTGCTTTTGTTGCCGGTGCGGATGTACATTATAATATGGATTAAAAGTAAAATAATATAGAGATTAAATTTGTTATTATATTGCCTCTGTTTAGTTGTTACTATCGGATTAATTAAGGGACACAAACAAGATTGGAGTTGTTTATGGTATAGCTCTAAGTCATTGTTTAGCTTATTAAATTGCTACACATGCAATTTGTTTTATGAAAATTGCTTCCCGAGGCTTTTGCAGGCTTGACGGTCACAACTGTTATGTTCGTGACAACTTGCTTGATGGCAATCAGGCAATGGTGATGGTCGTCATGTGGAAGAAGAAGATACTAACAGCCACTACTTTTGTTGCATTGTTTGGAACTCCTCTATCTGTCAGCAAAGGTCAAGATTCGAGAAGGAGCTTGGATACCCCTCCTCTATCTGTGTGTCACAGGCTTGCCCGTACCTATTTCATATATACACAACTTTCAATATTATATGCAGTTGTTAAAATGAAAGTAACACTCCCTTAATTACATTGAATTTTTTGCCTTCATTTTAGGAAAGCTAAGGGTTGCATTTTGTGCTGGGATCCAACTCTCAAGAATCACTTGTTTATTTTGCGAAGGAAGTCAGTGTTTATTCTGCGACACACAATGACCCCCTCCCCTCTCCCAACCATGTCCTTATTTTAATATCCACCATTATTTTTAATTTTACTAATTCTGCCCATCACTGCTGATACAGGACGATGGAGCTTCTTTATTTCGTGCATTTCTGCAGGGTTCTTGCAGATGTACTGTATCAATGGATGTCTAAAGCTTTGGGAAAAGCTACACAGTTCAGTTCCGACGTCCAGTTGGCAACTGGAACGGCTATCTATGATTATAAACTGATCTTGAGAGATCAGCGACTCAAATAATTTTCTACAACACACTTCCTTTTGCGCTTGAGAACAACACATTGAATGACAGAAATGCCCTTCATGTAGACGGTCAATAGATGGAAATTTTGATGGAGGGTCAAAATTGTCCTCGTCACAATAAGTGTGGCAAAAAATTGGCAAAATTTGTTATGGATGACTAAAATTGTCCAAGCCACTATAAGTCTAGGACCGAAAATGTCTTTTAATCTAAATTGAATAAATCAGGACTGGTAACTTCACCTCTCTGATTTCTATACTTTAATATGATACATAGACTAGAAAACGCCAATCCCAAGAGTTTTCCTCAGTCTATGAAAGATATAATGAGAAAACCCCAATAGATTAGGGCCTCAATGATTCCTTAAAGGCACCCAAAAAAGACAATATTCTTAAAAGAACACATAACCTTCTCTAACATACATCTTTTAACTCTTATAGACTTATAACGACAGGGAAGGAATTTCGCCCGGTAATTCCGCCTTTATACATCAGTAATCATTGCGAAGAGTACTTTATGGAATTACAACTTTATTAGTGGACATGGTCTACTCCAAAAAGCCAGTTCTTTTGTTTTTAATGGAAACAAATTAAACTTGATGCGGTGCAAATGGATGGTATAAGGAATAAGCAGAAATTTGATAATATTGTCACAGTGGATAGTGTGGGCCAAGGTGATAGATTAGACTTACTTTGGAATAAAGTTTTGGAGATAAACATTCTGGATAGTTCTGTCAACTTCATAGACATTACAGTCAAGATGAGTACTGTTCCCTCCACTTGGCGTTATACTGGTTTCTATGGGAATCTTGAAAGACACAGAAGGAAGGCCTCTTGAAGCCTTCTAAAGCAGCTTTCTCTAGCTTCATCTCTACCATGGATGCTTTTGGGGGACTTCAACGACATTCGCGTCCCAGATGAGAAAATCGGAGGTGCGGCTCAACCCCAATGGCTCATGAACGGCTTCAATGAAGCCATTGTTTACTGTGGGCTTAGAGATCATTGGTTCAAGGGCTACCAGTTCACCTGGGAAAAAGGAAGAGGGACTTCTCACTGGATTAGAGAGAAACTCGACCGTATTCTGGTTAACAACACTTGGCTAGATATGTTCGAAGGAGCTAATGCAGAGTCTTTCAAAGCACCTACAAGTGATCATATTCCCATTGCAATCTAGCCGTCTCCTGCTTCAAGAACAAGGAAACGCAGGTGTTTTAAATTCGAAAATTATTGGTTGAAGGAAGCGCGGTGCAGAGAAATTGTTCATCAAAGCTGGTCAAATTCTCAGGGTCTTCAAATTAGTTCAAGATTTGAGATTTGTAGCTATGAGATCTGGAAGCGGGGCAAAGATCAGAATCGGAACATGCAACCACAGATCGACAATCTTAAGAGAAGGTTAGAGTTCCTCAGACCTAGAACAGACGCAGGGAGTATCCGAGATTTTGCTGTTGTCCAGTCACAATTGATATGTAACTTGGATAAACAAAACCAATTCTGGAAGCAGAGGGCCAAGCTCTATTGGCTCAAAGGTGGTGATAACAACACGAAATTCTTCCACAATGCGGTGAATCAGAGAAGGAGGAACAATGAGATACTTAGACTTCGTGACCAGTAAGGCAATTGGATTCCTCAAGGTCCCGGCCTGGACTCTCTGGTAAGAGATTATTTTTCCAATACTTTTTCCTCTAAAGCTGGCAATTGTGATCCTGTGTTGAACTGTATAACCTCTAGGATTACTGACTCCCACAACAAAATGTTATTAAGAAGATTTACTACATCTGAAATTAAGAAGGCAGTTTTTGGCATGCACCCGGACAAGAGCCCAGGTTTTGATGGTTTTAATCCGGGGTTTTTTCAATCGTATTGGGATATTTTATGTGACAGTTTGGTGGATTTTTGTAATGAATTTCTGACCTCTGGAAAGATACCCAAGAACATTAATATAACGCAGATCGTGTTGATTCCTAAAAAACCCACCCTGAGACCATGGCCGACCTTAGGCCAATTGCCTTATGTTCTGTTGCCTACAAGATTCTTGCCAAGGCGTTAGCAAATAGGTTAAAGTGCTTATTGAATGATCTCATTTCTGAGAATCAAGGTGCTTTTGTCCCAGGAAGACAAATCACCGACAACATAATGATTGCGTTCGAGATGCAACATTATATGAAACGTAAGTCCCAGGGGAAAATTGGTTTAGCTGCCCTCAAGTTGGATATTAGTAAGGCATACGACAGATTAGAGTGGCCCCTTCTCAAGGAACATTATGATCAAATTGGGATTTGATGTAAGATGGATCAATTTAATCATGGAGTGTGTCTCAACTGTGAGCTATTTTGTGTTGAACAAGTGGTAGGAAATTGGACCTATCATACCTCAAAGAGGCCTTAGGCAGGGAGACCATATCTCTCCTTATCTGTTTATTTTGGTTGCTGAGGGATTCAGTGCTATGATCAGGGATTACGAGAGAATTGGCAGAATTCATGGTTTCACAACGACCAGATATTCTCCTTCTATCAGCCACCTATTTTTTGCCGATGATAGCTTCATTTTCTTCAAGGCATCGGTGGAGGAAGCAACAAATTTGAAACAATTTCTTATGGACTATGAGAAAACCTCTGGTCAATGTATAAACCTGAACAAATCAACACTGGCTTTTAGCAAAAATATCTCTGATTCTGTGATAGATCAGCTCAGAACATCTTGGGCATTCATCACAGTGGCAATAATGGAAACTATCTGGGGCTCCCTATGATCATCTGCAGAAATAAGACTGACATTCTGAAATTTATCAAACATCGTATTGTGAGTCGTATTCAAGGATGGAATCACATATTTATCTCTAAAGCTGGGAGAGAGATATTGCTGAAATCTGTCATTCAGGCTATTCCATCTTATGCTATGGGGGTTTTTCTTCAGCCAAAAGGGTTACTCCAAGAAGTAGAAACTACTATGAACTCTTATTGGTGGAAAGGTGGTGGTAGCAACTGCAAAGGTATCATCTGGAAAAGCTGGAGGGGTCTCTGCACACCAAAGAAATGGGGTGGACTTGGCTTTCGGGATCTTCATGGCTTCAATCTTTCTCTTCTTAGTAAACAAGCCTGGAAATTAACCATTGATCCCAATTCCTTGGTTTCAAGAATTTATAAGGCGAGATATTTTCCTAACTCTTCTTTTATTAATGCTAGATTAGGTGCAACCCGTCTTTCATTTGGAGTAGTTTGATGGCTACTCAAGACATAATTCGTAAGCATTCAAGATGGAGGATTGGCAATGGTTCTCACACTCGCATTTGGGGATATAATTGGCTACCGGATGTCCTTTCCTTACCCTCTTGATAAGCAATAAGGACCATCAGGATTCCAGCATCAACAATACAGACCTTTCCAGCAGCCACCTGCACCACAACAGTCTCAACTTCCTGCTCAGGAGAAGAAGCCTCAATTGGAGGAGATGTTCATGCAATACATGGCTAGCCAGGACACTATGATGAAGAAAATGGATGCAAAAATTGATAAGGTTGCTCAGTCTAACCAAGCATCCATTCATGGAACACTCCAAAGTGGAAGACCTCATTGACCCAGTTACTAAGTATTGGGATGAGAACATCATTCGGGAGATCTTCACCACCAGAGATGCAGATTTGATTATGAAGATTCCTCTTTCCAATCAGAATGTGTAGGATACAGTTATCTGGGGCCCTGAAGACAATGGGAAGTTCTCGGTGAAAAGCTGCTATAAGGGCATTGGTGGAGTGTTGAGATCGGAAGATATTAAGCATTGGAGCAGAATATGGAGTTGTAAACTTCCGCCGAAAGTCAAGACATTCTTATGGCAGGCTTGCACTTCGTGTCTTCTTACCAAGGATAGATTAAGACAGAGGCATATCAACTGTGACGAACAATGCATTCTATGCAGCAGCTGCAGCGAGTCCATCCTTCATCTTCTTGCGGAATGCAGCTACACCAAGTCTTGCTGGAATTATCTCCACTTTAATTATCTTCAATGCACCACAGACAACTTCCAGACTTGGTTGAATATCGCGCTAGCCACCTTATCTGAAGATCAGTTCTGTACCTTCTCCATGGTCTGCTGGAATGTGTGGAATCTGAGGAACAACATTGTTTGGAGAAGCCAATCCATCGAATCGCCTAGCAGTTTGATAACAAGATCATAAGCGTACTACTCCGCTTGGACTGCTGCAACCACAGACAATCAGCATATGTAGAGAACTGCTGCACCTAATGACCGGTGGAAAAAACCCAGGCTTGGCTTCATGAAGTTGAACGTAGATGCTACCATTAGTGCCAACGAAGGCCGCATGAGATTTGGCTGTGTGTTAAGGGACGATCATGGACAGTTCAAGGCTGCAAGGGGAACGCACTGGAGAGGATTGTTTTCACTATCGTGGCTCAAATCCCTTAACGTTGACAACGTTATCATTGAGTCCGACTCCCTACAAGTTATTCAGAGTTTCAATTATGAGATTGGAGTTTCATCATTTCATTTGATTTTAGCTGATATCAAAAACTTAATGAGTAGTTTTGCTCATTGTAGTTTATGTTTCGTTAGGCGATCTGCGAATCAGGCAGCCCACTTGTTAGCAAGGCAGTCTGTTTCTTTGTCTGATTGCTCGGAGTGGTTCACAGACCCTCCTCCTATCATTTGTAACTCTCTTCATTTGGATTCAATTTAATGCAATGGTCGTTTGGTTTAAAAAAAAAAAAAAAAAAAAAAAAAAAAAAAAAAAAAAAAAACTTTATTATATGAATCAACGTTAGGAATAAATTATTTCTAACACTTACCAACCGAGCTAGTATTCTTGGTGAACCATTCCCAAGAAGATATTCTGCTCACTTCCGAAAAGATTCAGAATGTAGGTAACCATTGCCCTATACTAGAAAATCATGGATGGGAGAAAAAAAAATATGTAAGAGAGCTTATGAAATAAATATATCTAGATGATGACCATCCTAATTGTTTTTAAAGAAAAGTAAGTTTGTTGTATATTCTACCGAAACATAAGCTGCTGAGTCAAATACTGATCAAAGAAATAGAATGTGGCAGCAACAGTATGGTGATATAGTTAACATGACAAGTTGTTAGTTAATTGATGGATCCACTCAACTGATATATGACCTAATTAAACATGCAATTGAATGGATAGATAACCCAATTAAATATGTGATTTACTTTATGTAATGACATTTAATTATTAGACTTTAATTCCATTCAAATTAGAATTCATTAATTAATATCATCAACTCATCATATGCCAGAAAAAAAAAAAAAAAATTGTATGAAAAAGAATGAAAACATAGGCTTAGGGTGATGGATTAACGTTGTATTCTTCTCCCAAATGTTGTTGATGGGACATTACAAATGATTTTTTTGGGGGAAATCACAAAGCCAAAAGGAGTCTACAATGAATAATGAATTGAACTGAAAGCTAGGCAAGAAGTACTGTTGCACGTGTAAAGAGAGAGATGCAACTTTATTTTTTGCATCTAATCCACCTCTTTCCAATTTTTACCTTCTTAATTATTAAAGTCACCAAATTCTTTTGGCTTGTCGATTCAAAATTATACCCTAAATAAAATAATAATAATAATAATAATAATAATAATAATAATAATAATAATAATAAGGAAATGGAAAGTTTGATATACACAAAGCTCAACAAATATTCAAGTGTCACAACAATCAATTCTCTTTTTTTTTTTTTTTCTGCATTTTTATTTGATATTATAAGAATAAAAATGGAATTACTATCATCTGGGCGGGCCTTGGGCAAGGGTAGCCTGGGCCCTTACTCAGGACCCATTCTACCCCACCCGGCAAATTATTATATGGACGATGGTCCACACAGTGTTGTGTAGACCATAAAAAAGTGCATTTTTAATATACAAATAGTGTATTTTTAATATTCAAATAATATATTTTTTCTGACTACAAGATACATTTTTAATATACTAAAAGTACATTATTTATGTACTGAATGTACAATATTTCATAGTATATAGAATAATGTATTTAATTATGTACACAAATAATATTTTTTATGGTCCACAATAATAATTGTCCCCACCCCACCCCCTTTACGATGTACTTACATTTAGATTCAAAAATTGTAAATTGTTATGTGTTTATAGCATGATATTCAGGCTCAATCCAATCATTTTATAGGTCCGGGGCATGCAATAATGTACTTTTTTTATTTACAATTTACAATTTTTGAAGATATTTAGTCCTCATTGCAAATATTTTTGGTGTTTTAGAAATTATAAATTGTTATGCTATCGGTGGATGGCAGTATTATTTTATTTTTTATATTATTGACATAAAAGTGCATTAAAAAAAAAAAGTAAGTCTTTGGATCGTATATTTGGTAACTATGCGCTCGTAGATTCAACTTACAATATCGATAATATAACATCGTATTAGATACCTAAATATATGGAAAATTATCAATTTGGGAATAGGCGAATAGCAATAGAATTTTGTCCTTTATTTTTTCTTTTTGTGTGCGACAAAATTATGTCCTCATTGTTTTAGGATGAACACAATGCAACTGTGTTGTATATTATTATATAAGATTCTATATATAAATACTCTCAG